AACCCGAACAAACGCCCAAGTCTGAAATTATCATACGAACCTATTGTGGAACCTTCAAATACCGATTTCGAGGTCGTTTACTTAAAAGTCAAACTTTAGTCAATTCTTCCAACTTAAAGCAAATCAAGAATCCGCAAATCAATACACAAAGCCTCTTACATAGGACAATGTTCTCAAGTGACACTAAAGAAAATGTCAACTTACTCTGAACATCTGAATTCTTCCCTGCTCATCCAAGCTCGTGACATTCTTATCAACACCGAGCCGCAACCTTGATCCTCAACTTCCAATTCCTATGCCGCTCACTGCACCTATCATGCCTCAACGCGAGAGTACAAGAATTCATCATAACCCCTGAACTACTAGTAGAATAAATACTTCATTGGCTAGAAGCCTTTCACTTAACTCATTTCAGAAGAACCATTGCAACACACAACTGAATTCACATAATCGCAGAAAATACAAACCTCGAGTTATGGTCTAAATTGCCATAACTCTTCCGGGATCCATTTACACATAACAAGGCCATTTGAATCAAATACCTCCTACATCAATCAAATTATGGTGGATGTCAAGCTCGCACGTACAACCACAAACCACCTGTAAGCTTAACACGCCGAAGGAACTGATCATTGCCACAATCATGCTGATTCAAACCATTACTAACCAACCCAGCTTCTTCCAATTTACTCTTGACTTGCCTTAGAGATAATAATAGCTCCATTAAAAATATAATGAACTCAATCAGCACTCATCCCAAGTGACCCGAATCATGAGACCACATTGTCTCGATGCCCATGAACAATCTCATACCCTCCTCATGCGCACAATAACATCTCCAACTAGTACACCTATTCTGAAGGACCTTCCGTGAATCCGAAACTGTTTCTTCCATTCCTCCAATACTGCCCCGCAGACCCGATGATAACATAGAAAATTTCCTAAGTATTCTTCACACTCTGCTGCAAAATCCTGATCTTCAACCATACAACGAACCCAAAATCCTTAGACACCGCGCTTACATCCTTGAACCCATTAGAACCACTATTGAGAGTCACCCACTCTGACCTAGTCCCGAATATAATCAAACTCCATCGCTCTGTTAGCACATGAACACTCCCAAAGAAGCAACCGAATTAATTCTTTTCCTTGTACATCACATCCACAAGAAGTATAAACTCTGAGTCTTCCCAAAACCTGTACATGAATCGATAAGGAGAAATATAGCACACATTCATCAAGTTCTTTACTCGACTTACCCCTGATGTTCTCTTTTCTTAGTCATAATGATCCACCAATGCACCGATAACCAAAAATCGCACAAGCAGAAAATTATGTGGTCCAATCATAGACGGTGGGTTCCCTCACTTAGTTTTAAGCTACCATCACATAATGTACAACCCACAAAGATTCCTCCTTCTCAATCACCGTGATCACGCACCGTTAACCCGCCAAATTTCTCGAAATCTCTTGTTAAACTTTTCATGAACATTTCGAATTATCAGCCACAATCGCATATTCGACCTTATGCCGAGTAGTAAGTAGAACTCTTTGTAGAAATTTTATCAAAATCACGCAACCGCTAACCTGCCCGCAGGAGATAGCCCACCTGCGTAATTCCATACCGACATATTCCAATGACACTGCACTAGGTACCACTACTACAAAATCAGTAAACCCTCCTGAGCCCATGCTCGTCCACCGGGTGTAAAGTTCTGTTCATTTACCATAGACATCAACTGAAACTCCGACAATACATTCCAAAGTCGAAGTCACGTTGCATCCCAAAAACGATAATCAAGTTTTCACACCCCTCTTTATTTCAAGCAAACTCCTCTCTGCCATATTCAATCTTCCTCGGTATAATAGCTACCATCCCAAATAAAATTCGTAAACCTAGTTACTTTCCACCATGATTCCCAAATCACACTAAACCTTCTCAAGGCATGTGGCTATCCTGCCACAGAATCCATATGCTACTCTGCTACTCCCACTTCGGTTAAAACATCTCCTTTAAACAACTTCTCGACCTATACTTTTCATACTTGACTTGCTAGCGATTCAACCACCGTGAGACACCTCCCACCATGTCCTTCCTTATCCCTCGCTACCCAAATATTGCCTCAAATCAAAATCCATCTTTGTAGCACCTGAACTAATAAATTGCTACCAACTCTAAGCCTCTTCGAAGATCATCATTCTCGAACCATCGGCATTAGGAACGCCGATTCGATTCTGAAACCGCTACATACCTCTATCTCTAACAACCACTTCTCAGACACCATTTCACAACACCCTGCCCCGAAGGCAAATCAATGAAGACCATAACACCGACAACCCTTAATGGGTTCAAACAAAGACGATGCCACCACATCACAAATGAGAATTTCACCATACTCAAAAATATCAAGTCTCGTTACTCCATCAACCAAAGCCTGAACATCCATCATCCGATTGTCTTTCCTCCGCTGGAATTAAATGCCAAACCTCTAAACGATGAATTGAGAAATCCTCCTTTCAAGTCATTCACTGCCTCGACATATAAACAAGTGCCCTACCATTAGACCAACACTATGGGATGACAACGCATGAACATCATGATAGTCTGTACATAGCCTCAAAACCATAGGAAATACAGATGTTGGGCTGAAACGACAGAACACCCTTCCGCAAGGTGACGATAATAGTCTGCCCGAATACGCAGGGAGAAACATGCTGCACCACGCCTGCAGTACCACTACAACTCCTCGATGCCAAATTGATAACAAGTGCTCCTCGTCGCATAAGATTGAGTAAGAGGGAAATGAAGGCATAAGCTCCACTGGAATCAAACCGCACGAAGATGAATCAAGAAGGGAAGTGCTCCTAACATCCATGTACTCTCTCAAAGATAAGTACAGACGTCTCCGTACCGATCCGCAAGACTCTACTAGACTTGCTCATGACGCGTGAGACCCAAGTGAACCTAGAGCTCTAATACCAAGCTGTCACGACCCAAAATCCGCTATAGTTTATGATGGCGCTTAACGCCGCCAGCCAACAGTAATTAATCGACTTAGTTACTCATTTTATTATTTTCGAAATCATGAATCCCCTTAAATAAGTAGAGTAAAACTTGGTACTCGTAGAAATCCCATAATTTTATTTTCCAATCTCCGTATAAAATATAAATTACAAGGTAAAATGGTAATAATTACGTGAACTACAATAATGAACATCCAGTAGGAACCGCCAAAATCCGGTGTCATAAGTGCACGAGCATCTACTGAGTAGTACAATAATAATACAACATCTATCTGGGATACAAGATAGACAGGAGAATATAAATAACTCTGATGGAGACTTTGTATGTTGCGGATCGTAACATGGAATGCAACTCACCGTGCTAGAGCTCAAGGCCTCAAACTATCGAACGACGTGCTAGAGCTCAAAATAATCGGTCGGGTCGTTACATTCTTCTTTAATTATTTCGGTTAATCTTCTTCCTCTTTCTCTCCCTCTCAAACACACAAATCACACTTTCATTAAAAATAATTATACATATGTAAAGCAAAAATCACTCAGATCTGAAAACATCCATCACCGAAAAATCTTTTTTCTGTCGAAAAAATAGAGTTTTTGAAATTTCAATCTGGAAGAAGCCTTTTCTTACCCAGCAGACACATTACATAATTCACCATCACTCACCTCATAATCATAAGAGCCACCATTTTTATGTCCCCACAATTACCGGTGATAGAAATAATCCAAAATGCCACCACCACATTAGCTATTTAAATGCCTCAAGCCTAGCTTAGCAGCAAAAAAAAGGAATTGATCATGGACCAAAAATTAGAACATGAGGTGAAACTTTGTTGTCTAGTTTGGCAGTGATGAGAGTAAATGAAAAAGAGAAAAGAGAGAAAAATAAGGAAAATAAAAGAAAAATACTTTTTTAATGAAATATGCACTTGTCTAGGGGCGTGTATCTCATCTCCCAGCAGAAATTTAGTTGTAGTATTTCAATGGTGAATTTATTCTATTTTAAAATAATTCGGGGGAGGGGAGGGAAATATAACCCCGAAAAAAAAGCGTGTAGTTAAAACTTTGATCATAGGTTTTGGGGGCACTTATGTATTTTTCTTAACTATTTATAATAAATTGAAACTAATTATCTGAAAAAAAAACGTAAAACCGATTATAATATACCTGATGCTGATAGTCAACTTCTTCACACTATCAATTTTAATATATAAAATTATATTTAATTACTCTCTTTATCCCAATTTATGGAAAAATATGTTGAGTCAAACGAGTTATTCTTTAAGCATAATTTTTCATATGTATTTTAAATATTTTAAAATATTAATTATTATAATTTATATTCCCTCCGCTCACTTTTACTTGCCTACTTTAGACTTTTTACGTCCCTTAAGAAATAATAAATATAATATGTATTTTACCATACAACCCCTAACCCCTAATAATGATAGCCTTTCAAAAAGTCTTAGGAAATAAGTTTAAAAATGAGTAATTAATGATAAGGGTAAAACAGAAAAAAAAGATTGTTTTTCTCCTAATTTAATATAGCGGATAAGTAAAAGTGAAAATGTATTTTTAATATAGTGGACAAGTAAAAGTGAACGGAGGGAGAATTACTTTTTATAAATAATTTCCAAATATATAAATTTTATTTCGAAAAAATAATTATATTCTATCCAAATACACGGTAAAAATTAAGAAGTTTAAATCTCAAAAAACAAAAAATATCACACAAACTGAGACAGGAGTAACATTTCAGACTTGCTTCAAGTTATGAAATTCGACTTACATTTTAGAATGCTCCACTAATTACTAATGTATTTCTTGCTTCATGACAAAAATTGCTCCAAGAACAATACTAGTATTCATTAATTGCCTGTTATTGCTTGTAGACTATGCAAGAATAATAATAAGAAAAATACATAAAATAGCCACAAGCCCTTTCTCATATATAATAATTGAATTAGAAATATTAAAAAGTTGCCACAAAAAGTTAACTTAATTAAAGCTCAAGTACATAATCATCATCAGCTGTAGGTATAATCAACCACTCATCTGGAAATTGGTAATTAGGATCATCATTCTTATCTATACAATTAGGAGACTCACTGTTTAATCCATGTTCTAATTGGCCAAAACCTGCCTTTGGATTTTCCATCAAAACATTTTCCTCTAGAGGAAAATATTTTTCTATGACTACTTCACCATTGCTCGCACTCTTCTTGCAATCCAACGACTTCAAAAACCCTATCCACCATTCAAACTCTGGAACTTCACCGGAAGAAAAAGGCAGAGGCGGAGGTGGCGGGGGCGGCAGCGGTGGCAGTGTAGTAAGTATTGCCGGAGCCGTTGTAGACCATGTTGGTTCAGGAATAGGCATAGACTCCACTATTGAGTAATAGTAATATTGTTGAGAGCTTACTGCTGTTAAGATAAAAAAACAGAACAGTAGAAAGTAAGAAAAAGGCGTGAAAATTACTTTCTTTAGAAAAATAAAATAACAGAGTTTAAAAAAAACTTTGATTTATATAGGGTAGAAAGAAGGCTATTCGGAACTTTAATTTATCTAATTTCATAACAACTTTCTTTAGAAAAACTAGAATGATATAAAGAAATTAAAGAGAAAAGACTTCGAATTTATTTAACAAAAAATAGAATAACAAAAAGTAAAAAATAAAATAATAATTTGAATTTATAGGGTAGGAAGCAGGCTATTAAGAACTTTTATCCATTTTAATGAACACAATTTTCTTTAAAAAAAATTAGAATAAAAGAAAGTCACAAAATAGATATCAATTTATAGTCGAAAGAAGACTCTTCGCTACATTTATCTAATTACATGAACATACATGTCATGTTACACTTATTTTTACCTTACGATATCGGGGCAATTTGGCTTTACATATATTACAAACCATCTAACAGTCGAGAGTTAGAACATTATATTATGTAAACAAATTAAGTTACGAATACTGTAAGTGCTAAAAAAATTTATACTACCAAATCATTTAAATAATTTTAATCAATATTTAAAGGTAAACTTCCCTAGAATGCGGAATTTGTAATCTCAAAAATAAAACAAGTTATCTGTGTCTACTACAAAATATTATCTGCTACAAAGATAATCTGACGGTATAAAAATTCTAACCATATATATTACCTAAACTCGTCTATAAATCCTTGAATCTATTTTCAGTGTTGTTACCTCTTTGACCCAATAATGTGTACTTCTTTGGGTTATTAATAGACGGAGTTGGCGATGAAGATGAAGATCGATGAAGTTGTAAAGCATGAACGATTTCTCTTCTAGCTTCAGCCATGTCTATATAAGAGCTAATAAAAGGAGCTTTTCTAGTATGATATTTTCTCAACCTTTTTCTTGGTGAATTGTTTTTCTTTGAATCCATTTGCTGCTTCTTTCTTGTTTGTTCTTTCTCTGCAAGACTCTGTTTCTCGGGAAGAGAAGGTAATAATAATCAGCAGATACGAAAGAGGGAGTGAATAATAAATGAAACAAAAGAGTAACAAGTGGCATCGTAAATGAGAAGGGAAAAGATGGGTCAGCAAGCATGCAGTAACAAATCAGTGTGGACACCTGTTTCCTCGGACACACTGCTGCTTACTTTAAAAAATTTCAATTATAATCATAATATCCGAGTTAGCTTGGTTTATGTCGATTGATTTCATGAAATATCCGTTATCTTGGCTTGAACAAATAAGCATAAATCACATCCGGTCTTCGTTTCAATTTAGATGATATACTTTGACTTGATACAAAGTTTAAGAAAAAAAATAATTCTAAAATATATAGTTCTAAAAACTTAAGGAGCAAAAGCTTTATAGGGTCATGATATTTATGTGACCATAAAAATTTTTCATTAATGATAAAGTTGATAAAATGAGAAATTTAAAGTTAAATTGTTTTCAAATATATAAATATGTCATTCTTTTTTAACGGACTAATAAAAAAAGTGCGTCATTTAAATTGAAATGGAGGGCTAATATTTTTATCGCCTCTGAAATTTGAAGCGAAACAAATCTCAACCCACTCTATTAATTATTTTTATTTCCTTTTTTCTTTTATCTTTTTTGCTCTCTTTATACCTATTACTTTTTATTTTCAATTGTTCAATTATAATCTATACTATATTAAAAGCACGAAATCCCTTAGCAATTATCGTTTGTTTTTTTGAACCCTTTAAAAATAGATTTTGAATTATTTTCTTAGTATTTAGAACTTCAAATCCATTAATATATCATTTAGTTATTTTCCTAATTTAGGGTTTCAGATCAATTAATATGTTTCTTTTTAATTTAGGTTAGGAGTTTTAGAAATATATTTTTATCTTTTTTACTTAAGAATTTTAGGCACGTTTTCATGCATATAAACTCTTGAATTATTTCTATGTATATCCAATACTTTGTATAAACGCACTAATTATCCCTTCGTACAGTAACTCCATGCATGTTAGATTTACGACTTTAAAATCAACTTGACAAAATTCTTTAAATTGTAATCCAAGTTAAATTCCATAATGATTTATAAATTTAATTAAAATATTTATGACATTATTTTAATTTAAATAAGGATCTGCGAGATTTACAGTAGTTAAAAGAGTCTTTCAAGTATCAACCATAATGAGATTAAAACTTCTTCCAAAGGTTGAATCCTTTTGAAAACTAGCACAAATTAATAATATCAAACGGAAGTCAATAACGATTGGTGGTATTTTAATATGTTGTGTATTTGGTTCTGGATGTCTTCGCAAGATTGATATTTTCATCTTCAACTCATACAAATATTTTTCGCGGCAATTCATAAAGAACTCTAATTGAGGGATCCATGTCCGTGATGTAAAGATGGAAATATTTTGAAACTGGCGACTTAACTTATGATTGCATCTTAAGTTATGGTTACATGAGAATGAGAAGGTGTGATGATCCAAAATGTCATCTTTAAATTTAATATGTAATTCTGTATTTTAAGATCTCGAAAAGCACCATTTATCATTCATCGACTTGCGTGCGCAGTCCGTACAATTTTTCGGAAAGTTTTAATATGAAAAATGGATTAAAATGTGAAATAGAGGTTTAAAACTCAACTGAGTTGACTTTGGTCAACATTTTGAGCAAACAGACCCGGATCAGTATTTTGACAATTCTGGTAGGTCCGTATCGTGATTTGAAACTTGGGCGTATGCCCGAAATCGAATTCCGAGGTCCCTAACCCGACATGTGAAATTTTGATGAAAAATTAAAAGCTTGAAAGCTTAATGATTTTTAAGAAATTACTAATCATTGACCCCGGGTCTGTATTTTGGTTCCGAAACCCGGTAAAGGTCCACAATAATATTTATGACTTGTCTATCGAATTTGGTGAGAATGGAGTTGATTTGACGTGGTTCGGACGTCCGGTTGTAAAAATATAAGTTTTAAAGTTTTCTTGAAAATTTCCTTTGATTTGGCGTCTGATTCGGAGTTCTAGGTGTTATTTTGGTGATTTGATCGAGCGAGCAAGTTCGTATAATATTTTAGGACTTGTGTGCATATTTGGTTTGGAGGCCCGAGGGCTCGGGTGAGTTTCGAATAGGATACATGATGATTTTGAACTTAGAAAAATCTGATTTTTTGCAACTTTAGGCTTCTGGTATTTCCTTCATCGCGTTCGCGAATGTACTCTCGCGAACGCGTAGAGCAAACTGGGCTGGCTGAATTTTTCTTCTTCGCGAATGCGAAGATTGGGTCGCAAACGCGAAGCTATGGGGACTTTACCCTTCGCGAACGCGACCAGCTCAACGCGAACATGAAGCTTTAGAGGCCTGGAGGAGGGGTCAGCCGTCCTTCTACGTGAGCGCGAGCACTGGCACGCGAACGCGAAGGCCAGGGGAGAAAAAGCCTTTGCGAACGGAAAGGAGGACTCGCGAACGCGTAATCCACGGGCTGCTACTCATTACGAACGCGACTGGACCTTCGCGAACGCGAAGAAGGCCTGACGCTTGTGACTTAAAACAGAACCAAAACGGGATTTTTCCCATTTTTCACAAACCCTTAATTAGTACTCGGTTTATGGGCGATTTCAAAGGAGTTTGTCACGATTTCGAACTGAGTAAGTGTTCTTTATCATTTAGTGATTGTATTTCATAAATCTAAGTCTATATTCATCATTTATTTCGGATTTAGATGGAAGAAATTGGAATTTTTATAAAATCTTCCAAAAACGAAAATTTAAGATTTGAAGGTCCATTTGACATCGGAATTTGATAAATTTTGTATGGTTGGACTCGTATCGGAACGAATGTTCGGATTTCGTAAGTTTTTCTGAGATTTGAGACGTGGGTCCCACTGTCGAATATTTTAATGAATTTCGGATTTTTATCCGGAAAATTAGTAAAGTCCTATGGTATTAATTCCTATGATTCGTATTGAGTATATTGAATTGTTTATGAATAGATTTGAAACTTTTGGAGACAAATTTAAAAGGAAAAGCCGTGGTCGAGTAATTGATTAGAATTTGTAAAGCGATGTAAGTGTCGTGGTTAACCTTGACTTGAGGGAATAGAACCCTTAAACTATTTGTTATGTGAAATGCATGTGAATGATGTATAGGCGAGGTGACGAGTATCTATGGATGTAAACCATACTAGGCAAGCCATGTACAGCTCGATCTAGAAGGCATTGATGGGGGATCAATCCCAGGTCATATGTATGAATGACCGCCCTCCAAACCAACTGGGCCATCCCCGAAGGGATTTGTCCTTGTATTTTATCGTACTAGTCTTAGGATATGCGCTTCGCGCGTGTACCCTATATCAATAAATATATTTTTTTTAAATTACATAAATATTATTAAATAATATATTTGACATATAAAATAAAAATTAACGATAAATATATAAATTTGTGAAAATAACAAATGTTGATCTTATTTAGGTAGCTCAATAAAGAAAGAAATCTTAATCATAAAAGTCCTCGGATGTCTTATTGTAATTTATAAGAATGTCTATAAAAAATATTGTATGAATATTATATTTATTTCTATGACCTGATACAAAATAAACAAAACACAAACAAAATCTTTTATCAACAAAGATTTGTCAAATAAAGCAAATTAAAAACTTAAATTTCTCTTTCTTTTAGAGAATGAAGAGGTTCGCATTATGCTTATAGAAAAAAATTAATAAGGGACAATATAAAGTCTAAAATGAGTAATATTAACTTAATATTGTATAACAAATAACTTCATATAAAATATATATGGAGTTTATGCGGATGGAGGGGAATGGGTGGTCGCCTTTGTGCTTCTTTGAGTTTTTGTCTTCCGTAAAAGCTAGGGTCCTGTCCAACTTTCGATTTTTGTTTTGAATATACATATCTTTTTCCTAGTAAATAAAATACTTCTTTTTTTGTTCGTTTGTAAGAAAGATAATATTGCATTAACTATTAAAGAGCGGTGCTACAGAGAGGGTGGTGCTCGGGGTACAGCACATTGCTAGAACTAGATTGATTACTATTAGAACTACTAGTATAATCTATGTTTGAGTGCAAAAAGATAGGATCAGTATGCAACAAGGAGTTCGCTACTATAGTAACTCAATTATCAGCTGTAGAGGTAGGCGTCGCGTGTTGCTGTGCAAAATGTGGTGGTATTGCTGCCGCATCTATTGCCTGGCCTGCCCGTGTTGGATTCACATTCCTAATTTTGTTGCTCCTGCTTGATCCTCTTGTAAGTTTTCTAATACAAAAACGGGTGGCTATGCAAAAACAGTTGGTGTCATAGTAGACTCCATTGAACAACCTTCCTTGGCTAATCTCTCAGCTACCCCATTCTCCTCTCTGTAGACATGAGTGACTGGTGCATTATGCAGCTGGACCAAGAGGTACCTGCAGTCAGAGTGTTACGTGCAGTAATTTTAGTTAACCATTTCCTAGTTATTAGAAGTCATTCAAATTGTGTTCTCTGTTTCCTTTATTTTAGGAGTAGATAATGAGCATATCCATTTCCTCCTTTATTTTAGGAGTAGATAATGAGCATATCCATTTCCTTTATTTTAGGAGGTAGTTGCGATAGTTCAACAACTTTTAGTTCGTGTCAGTTGCTAATCTTTTGGGAACTCTTCATGTATAAAGTCACATAACTGGAAGAAATAAAGTATTGAATGATTTTATTCCAAATCTCGAGCTTACGAGAAAGAGGTCGTGGTCTCCTCTATCAGACCAGTTTCCCCATTAACAAGACTTTTGCCTTCTGTTTTTCTATTCCAACTATTCCAAAAATAGGCCCTCGAAAGGAGTACGTGCCAAAGTGGTTTCAGAGCACAAGCATGGACCAACGAGTGGAGCAATTGGAGACGACTGTTCAAAGCTTGTCCATTGGACAACAAGCCCTTGCTAATCAATTGAATGAAGTTTTATCACTGATTAATTCCAAATTTGATGTGACGGTAAGGCTTATCCGGCGCGACGGCGAAGCATC